TCCTCCAAGGACCGCACCATTAGGATCATAGACCCTAGGGCTGACAAGGTGGCCTACGAGGTAAGTTCCTTGCTCTTTAATTCTTTCTTTCAGCATTGCTTCTGCCTGCCTGCAGGAGGCTGCTCTAGGAAAGCTGGTAAATTCTGAAATTCTGAATTAAATTTGGTCATTATTGGCTACTTGAAATATGGGGTAATGACTGATTTCAAAAGGTGTGATTCATACCATTAAGAAAAATAACCAATTAGTGTTATAAATACATTTTATATTAGTTGAAAAATTTGTTTGGTTGCCTTTGATAACCTAATGTGAATTTCATAGGCATGTGGAGTGCCTAGAAAATCTGAATAGCTTCCTAAACAAATAATACTTGAAGAATAAAAAAGTTCAATTCTGTCTCCTTAGGCCGAGAGTCACAAGAGCCCCAAAGACTCCCGTGTTGTCTGGCTCGGAAACACTGACCGCATCCTCTCCACGGGCTACGATGGGTCACGCGTCAGAGAAGTCAGATTAAGGGACTTGAGAAATTTCTCAAAGCCCTATAAGGTCCAAGCATTTGATTCTTCAACTGGGTAAGTCTAGCTAAATGAGACATCTTTGGTTTCATTATTCTGTATTCTTACTCTTCACTCATACTGCATACATTTGCATTTTCCAGTTTACTCATGCTAAACAATTTTTTTTTTTTTTCTTTTTACAGGATATTTATGCCTTTGTATGATGCTGATACAAACATGCTCTTCCTTGCTGGGAAGGCAGATGTGAGCATTATGTATTGGGAGGTTACAGAAAAGGAGCCCTTCCTCACTGAAGGTCTCAAGCATAATGGTAAGTCTGACTCCTTACATTTGTCTGGTTTTAAGTAGATTTTTAAACACAGAATTTGTATAGAGATCTTTTGTATAGGCAGACTATACTTACGTATCTCCTGTAGAGTTTCATGAAGATATGTAGAATAAACACATTTCTATGCTGAATCTCCACAAACCAGAAATAAATTTAATTCCGATATTCTCTTTAGGCTCAGTGCAGACAAAGGGAGCATGTCTAGTGCCAAAGCGAGGACTAGATGTCATGACAGGAGAAGTTAATCGTCTGCTTCAGCTCACCTCAAATGCCATTATTCCTATAACCTATCAGGTTCCAAGAAAGGTAAGGAGTTTCAGATCACAGGCTGTATGCTGAGAATATTTCATTTATACACACTTTTTTATTGGTGTTAGAGTGAGTGACATTTTCTAAATATGATTCTTATATCTGCTGCCCACAGACGTATCGAGAATTCCACGCCGACATCTTTCCTGAAACCCCGGGTTATGTACCATCTACCTCCATCACACAGTGGCTTGAGGGTACCAGTGTTCAAAGAAAGACCATTTCCTTGGACCCAGGCAAGAGACCTTCACCAAAGTACCAGGTGAGAGAGAGAGAGATTTTTAAGAGGACCTTTCTCCTTGTCTCTGAGCATTTAGTAGAGGTAAATTCATTTGTAAAGATATAGTGAGTTTTATCTCCTGGCACTTTCAGATCCACCGCGGGCCACTTAGCAAGCGCGAGGACCCCAAACCAGAGCCAGATACCCCTGTGCCTGCCCCCCGCTCACGTATCTCCAATGGCACTGAGAATAAGCCTGTGAGTGAAATACGTCCTACGCTGTCCAAACCAACAGTAGCTGTCAAAGTAAGTGGTGCTTAATTTCACTCGTAAAATGCCTTCATTATGGAGTTGGTGTACGTGGGTGTATTCTACTTTTGTTGTGGGATTTCACTGTTGGGTGTGTTGGTTTTTGCTTCTGTCACAGAAAGAAAGAAACAGGATTTTTTTTGCACCAATGTGTGTAGAAAGAGAAATTTGAAATTTGCTATTCATAACAGTTACACAAATATTGCTTTGCAAAATTAGTTGATTTTGTCAGCAGGTTAAGTATTATTTATGGATTAAAAGATTTCATTCTTATACTGATAATTTCCTCAAGTTTGATTTTGAAATTGCATTGAAAAGACTTTTTTTCCAAGTTTAAAGAACCTTTTAGAAATCTTGACTTAAATTTGTTACATTGATGTAAGAATTAGTCATTTAGCTTTGAGATTCCAATGTTTTACGTAATTGTAGATCAATATATTTTATGACTATGTGCGGAGAGAGAATTGCTTAGTTTTTACAGTAATTTTTTTGATGAGTTGAATATCAGTTATTCATAACAATATTATACAAACTAAATATCATTATCACTTGATTTAAGTATATGTAATCACTACCTTATTTTACACTTTTCACACAGTTTGAGCACATGTTCTCACTTTATTTCTTCATATATGCAGTGAATTTTCTTTACCAGAGCCATGTTAGAGGGTGAGGGGGGATGTACTGTGTAATATTCAGCTTTTAACTTGGCTTGATTCCATTATTGTTACTTCTCTTAAAGAAAGTGTGGATACTTCATAGTTCAAGGTGGTCAGGTATGAAATTGGATAATGTATCTTTTTAATCATTAGGAGAAAGACTATACATTAAAAAATTGTATTCTTAAGCATTGCTGGGATTAGGAGTATATTTTTTCATCATTTCTAGTTTATATTATACTTGTTCTACTAAAGATGGAAGGTTGGAAAGTAACTTTGTTGCTATTGTGGCATGAACGTATGGTAATTAGCTACAGGAATAGAAAAGGCAAGGGGAAGGAATGGGGATAGGAATGGGAAGTGTGGTATTATGTAGGTGCATTTCTCATTTCCCAAAGCTCAGTTTTGCAGTATGGACATCTGTTGTGAGAACTTTTGGAAAGATAAGTGGAAGCTCCTGTGTTGTTTGTCAAGCAGGTGTTACTTTTTACATAGTTTCTGCAAGAAATCCTTGCAGTTCTAGGCAGGGCTAGGCTGAGAATCTTCTTATCATGAGTATATGTGGGAAGTATTATGTGTTCCTTTGGTATCTGATAGTAAATGTACAGTATTTAGTTGTCCTCACTGTCCAGAATTGTGTGTATGACTTGCATAGCTCTAACAGTGGACACTACATATTTTAACACTTCTGTGCTAGATACAGTTTATGGATGAATGTAAGGTTCCTGTTGTAGAATAATTTACTTTGCTTTTTCAGAGTGTTTTCAGTACCATTTTTACTCTCTCCTGTCCTAGCCCTCCTCCCCACCTTCCTCCACCCCACGATACCCTTGAACTCCATGGTTGTAACAGGGCAGCGGTTGTTGTCCCTTGGAGAGCATGACTTTCTGGTTTCTACGTCCCCTTCAAATGTTACAGCCGAGCTTCATGCCCGCTAAGCCAAGCCCAACACCCAAGCCTGCTGTGCGTTCGAGCTTCCCCCTGCAGGAAAATAAAAACCTTACTAATGAAGATGACCCTTCAGCTGATATGCCCGTAAAGAACAATTTGGCTCTACTTCGTAAAAACTTTGAGACGAACGAAGAGGCAAGTGCAGCTGTGCATGCCTTTGTCGTCCACTCAGCCCTTATGGCCCTAGTCCAGACAGTAGTCTTAGAAACTAAAGTTGAGATATTCATAGTTTTTGGAAAAATATATTCCTTTGCTGAATGCATTTACATTTAAAAATATAGTAACACACTCACACTCTGACACACTCATGCTCTGCTGCACACACACTTGCATGTACGTACAAACACACACACACACACACACACACACACACACACACACACACACACACACACACACACACACACACACACACACACACACACACACACACACACTCACACACTCACACACACACACACACACACACACACACACACACACACACACACACACACACACACACACACACACACACACACACACACACACACACCCCACACACACACACACACCCCATAACCCTAAATCCACACCACACACACACCCCACACACACACCCACATACACACACCCACATACACACACCCACATACACACACCCACATACACACACCCACATACACACACCCACATACACACACCCACATACACACACCCACATACACACACCCCACACACACACCCCACACACACACACCACACACACACACACACACACACACACACACACACACACACACACACACACACACACACACACACACACACACACACACACACACACACACACACCACACACACACCACACACACACCACACACACACACACACACACACACACACCACACACACACACCACACCCACACTCATGCGCGCCCACGCGCGCTCACCCGCACCACACGCGCACAAAAACACAGATGCATAAACACACACACACAGTTCTAAGCAGATCCCTTCCTTCAGCATAATTTAAAAGCTTTGATCCTATCCGTATGCACAGGAGACAGATGGAAATATAAGTGGAAAGTGTATAGAGACAGAGGAAGAGATAAAACCGCGCACAGTTAGCATCTCTGAGCTTCGGAAAAATTATGAGACAAAGGAGGAGCCACAGGTAGGAGGCCGTTGTAGGAAGCTTATACAAAATTTTATTGAAATTTTATTTATCAATTATTTTCTTACACATAGCAAATGTAAAGTTGTGATTTTTTTTTTTTCTACTTAGAGAGATATTTGATAGTTCTAATGTTGTATTTGACCTTTTTATGTTTAACTTGCTATTTGTTTGATGTTTTTTTTTTTTGTTTTAGATTAGACATAGGGATACTACAGTATTCGTCAGACCATGTAAAATAGAATTTTTTGTTTTTTGTAGTTGTTATGCAGTGCTTAATTGTTTCTTTTTTTTCATTTGTTACTCTTTTCCCCTCTGTCATCTTTAAAGGAAAAAGAAAGATTGGCATTGAGGTATGTTTTTTTTTCCTCTCTCTCTTATCATTAGTTTACTTGTGTTCTTTTTATTTTTATTTTTATTTTTTTGCATTTCCTTTGCACAAGCTTTGTAGCTTTGCTTATGTTGGGCAGCAGGTGGTTTACATGCATATTTTATGCCTTTTTTCTCCTGTCAAGCGATGGCCATTTGAGTTTGAGGAATATTTTTTTTGCCATATATATTTTTACCCGGCTTATTTTTTTCTGCTCTTGGAAATAAACATTTGCGTCACTTGAGAAAAATCCAAAGAATGAAACAAAATATATGACAGCTCTAAAAGGTCTTCCACTCTTGCAGGAGATTCAGGAGGAGCCGGAAGAGGAGAATCCCTCCAAACTGGCCTCGATCCGTAAAGCCTTCGAGACACGCTCCATATCTGTGGATGAGAAGATAGTTGAAAGGAGACGGGAGGAAGTGCGGCAGGAACAGACCATTCAGGAGGAAGAGAAGGAAAATGTTGGGGTGTGTAGACGAGAGCTGATATAGATATATTCAAGTTTTGATATGATTGCTGTTGATGCATGAATTTCTATAAATGTTAGTAACTCATGGTTTTCATCCATTAATTAATCTTGAATCTGTGTACGGGTAGGAACCTGTTACACTACGTGAAGGTAGCCGTGTCAGTGCAGCAGAGCGCAGACGAACCTTTGAACAAAGAATGACAAGTGTGGAGGAGAAGCCTGCATCGCCAACCCCAAGGAGACCAACAGTTACACGTTCTTTCAGTGAGTTGTACTTAAGAGCATATTTGGATTTATCAAATTACTTTTGAATAAACTCAGTAGGGAGTGTGTTTGGATTGTCAGATTACCATTGAATAAACACAGTTGGGCAGTTTGCTCCTTTCTGTAAATTTGTTGGATTAATTCATATAAATGGATTCTTTCCCTTCATAATAAACCCGTATACTCCTATTTGCTGTGATTTGTGGCTTGCTCCCTAGTGTGCAGCTGGTCCTAAGTCACCACATTTAGGCAAGAAGTGTCAAAAACTGGTATCGACTGTTTTTTCATCATCAGTACGGTTTATTTTATGTAGTTTCATTTAATATATCGGGAAGTACCTTGCAGATTTCCTCCAGCCACACTCTCACTCCCCTTGTATGCCCTCTCCACCCATAGCCAATCATATAGTTATATTATGTCTCTTTCCTCATGTCACTGGAATATAGTGAGGGTTAAGTACATGTTATGGTACACCGTCATATTACAGCCAGCAAAACCCCCCATCTTTTCCTCTCCTACATTCCTGCTACCCCAAACTGTAATAGAGATACTTCCTAGAATATATAAAAACAGCAGAATACATATATTGTTGTTTAATATGATAGAAATATGATTAATTTTGGCTTTATATGCTTTTATTAAAATGCCTTTATTGGTATCTGACAGTCAGAAATACATCACCCATTGATTGAAAATGCTCTGAACTAAAGCACAAAATAAGTCATGTTTTTGATGGGTGCTGAGACAGACAAGAGGGAGAGTTTGTGGATCTTGTGGGTTAACTGCTTAATTTCCACATGGAATGGTTTTGTTATTTGTGTGTTTCCTGTATGATAACTTTTAAAACTGCAACAAGTAAATAAATCCTGAACACTGCAGGAAGTAAGCACAGGGAAACAATTTTTTTTTTTTTTTCTGTTGATCCAAGAACATTACTTCAAGCCAGTGAAATCTTTCTCCAGGACGTGTGTGCAAGTTCCGGCACTTGAAGGGCACTCCAGGCCACAAGAGCACCTGCATAGAAAACCTCAGAGATCTGAACCGAACAACCCCTGGAGAGTGCGATGGCATGGCTGGTAAGGCTACAGTTGGTGATTGGTTCATGAGAGACAGAAAGAAACCTTTCCTTTCTAATAGAAATGTTTCTACTTTTTTAACATCATTATTGTTTATTTTTTTTATAATATATAGATTAGACCTCTGATATTTATTAAATGTGCTTTCATAGATTTGCTAGACATGTTTATGAAGTTCATTATTTTCCATTTGTATGTGGACATTTCATTTTTATTATAAAGAAGTATTTATAATTGTACATAAAGGCAGTGAAAGTTTAAACCATAACTGACTCTTCTCTTCTCGTACAGCGAATAGTGAGTTTGTGGTGTTGCCCCTAAGTGGTCCAGGGGGGAAGTTGTCTGTCATGAAACACAAGAAGGGTGGACGACAGCCTGATGGTGTCATTCCATCACTCATGAACACTGCCAATGTCATGGACTTTGCCTTTGATCCATTTAATGATCATACCCTGGCCGTTGGTGAGTATTTCCCTCTGATTCTGTATTGTTATTATTATTTTTTTTTCCCTCTTTATTTATTTATTTATTTATTTATTTATTTTGTTGTATTTGTAGATTTTTGTAATAATGATGACTAAAAATGTCACAAAATGGGCACTGTAGATCATAAAGGTGCCCCTTACATTGTCAGGAGAAAGATTCCAGATTCCACATTGATTGACTGATATGTATGACGATCCCTCAATTTGCTACCGTCTTATGCTTCAGCATGTGATGACGGCAAAATTAATCTGTGGCACATTCCGGAGGGTGGGTTGACACAGCCTACTAATGAACCCACTGAGACCTTCATGGATGTTGGATCAGCTGATAAGGTATTGCTATTATTCAATGGATGCTTGAATGTGAAGTGTTATGGTTTTATAGTGCTTTCCAATGTGAAGAGTAATGGCTATGGTGAAAAATAGGATGTGGAAATTGATTAGGTTGTAGGCAATTGGTAAATTTGAACTTTCAGAGTATTGCAGGCCATAGAGACAAGAGCTGTATTATTTTTTGTATTAATGATAAGAGAATCTATGTATAACCTTTTATTGTTTACAGATCACCATCCTCAAGTGGCACCCCTTAGCAGCAGGTGTTTTAGCAGTTGCCACAGGTGACCTCACTGTGAAGATCTGGGACCTACATAGTAGAACTGTGTCACTTACTCTTGCACCTCATCCTGACCAGGTGTGTTCATTTATCTTTAAGTGTTACAGTCTTATAAGGAGTTCACCTCTGCTTATAAATGGATTTCAGATGGTATGAACATAGTGTCTGAGCTCATTAAGTGGTCTGATATGTTGTATGAGCTGATAATCAGTAGATTATTATAGTTATTATTATCTTAAATGAGAGTAGCTTTAACCTATTGATGTTGAAGACATTAGTGATGATAACGATAGTAATAGAAAATGAAAATAGAATTAGAGTACTAAAATGCAATAATCATTATACACAGATATTTTCCATGGCCTGGAGTCCATGTGGTAGATATCTGGCCACAATGTGCCGTGATAGCCATATCCGTGTGTACGACCCACGCAAGTCCACCGAGCCCATTCGTGAGGGCAATGGGCCAGTGGGAGTGCGGGGAGCAAGAGTCCTCTGGGCACTCGATGGCAAATTCATAGTCACTGTTGGATTTAGCAAGTAAGTGTGATTTCTTGATCCCCCTCCCCTCCCACTGGAAACATTTGAAAGGAAATCTCATATATAGTGTTTGTGTGATATTTGCAATAGTAGAAAAGATATATGCTGATCACAGATCTGCAAAATTTATAATTTCTATTATACAGGCTATCAGAAAGGCAGATCAGTGTGTACAAGGCAGCTGAGTTGTCCAAGCCAGCCAACACGGTCACCACTGACATCAGCCCTGCAATGCTGATTCCCTTCTATGATTCCGATTCATCAACGCTCTTTGCTACAGGAAAAGTAAGATGGCGAACGTGCTCGGTTGTGTATTTTGTTCTTGTATTTTATAATGGATTTCCCTTTATATTTCGTAATGGATTTGTCTTTGTATTTTGTTTTGTAATGCCTTCTTTCTCTTCTCTTTTATCTGTGTACTCTTTCCCCACTTCCTTTTGCTGGTTCTTTTCTTTCCATCTTTTCTGCTTACATGCTTATCCTCTTTTCTCCTCCTCCCTTTCCTCCTCTCCTCCTCTCCTCCTCCTCTTCCTCCTCTTCCTCCTCCATCCCTATCTCATAACTATTGCAGTATTTCAGATTGATAATACTGGTGTTTACAGCTGACATGACATTGATCTGTGCTAGATTTAGAAGTATTATCTTAACATTTCATTTTTCTCCTCCTTAGGGTGATAGCACCATCTTTGCCTACGAGATTGGGAGCGATTACCCACACCTGTTTCCATTGTCCAACCACAAGTGTGGAAGTGTGCATCAGGTATGTCAATATGCAGCTGTGTTCTTACATTTTAGCAATTATATTTTGTATGAAAACAGGCACTTTTAAAGAGGCATTCAAATTTTATAATGTTTCATTTTGTGGTTAATTTCGCAGTATTATGATGAATCAAAGAATAATTCTGAGTTAATGATATAATGGTGATAACTGGTTTACTTCCGCAGGGATTGGTCTTGTTGCCAAAGCAGATGTGCGATGTGCGGCAAGTGGAATTCTGCAAGGCATTGAGATTAACCTCTTCTATTCTTGAGCCCCTCTCCTTCACTGTGCCCAGAGTAAAGGTAGGTTCTGGTTCTATTCTGATATATCAATTGTTTTTGTAATACCCTGAGATTTTAAAGTGTTATTATTTTTTTGACTGAAAAATGATAGTAATTAATATAACCGTTGCTTCTGTTTACATTGGCCAATAACTCACTCATTGCAAAACTTGTTCCAGACGGAGCTGTTCCAGGACGACCTCTTCCCACCAACCTTCGTCAGCTGGGAGCCTGTGATGACGGCTGCCGAGTGGCTCGGAGGGACAAACCGCCCCCCACGGACACAATCCCTGCAGCCAGAAGATATGATTAGCTGTAAGTATTTGGTATTAGAGATTGATTTATTATTATCTCTACAATCTTTTTTTTTTTTTTTTTTTTTTATGTTTGCATAGTTTGTTTTTCTATCTTGATTTGGTTTTGATTTAGCTTTTAATTGGTTCTCAGTAAGCAGTTGTGATGAATAGTATGGTTACATTATTTTCACTTTATAGCTTTTTCTGGACATTCGCATATGACCAGCATTTCTTTTTTTCCTGCAGTGTCTGAGAGCCGTGAGCAGCAGTCCCCAGTGGCACCCCCAACTTATGGCGGATCCCAGACCCACATCCGGCACGAGACCCCACCTTTCCTGAAGGGAATGGTGCCTAATGAAGTCCGCCAGACTCAGCACAAGGTTTGATACAAAACAGAGGGGTTACCCACTTTCCCCCTGGTTTCAGTTCAGTTGCTTACATATATTTATTTGTTTATGAATCTGTTCATTTGGTACTTTTTTTTTTCTTTGCAGTAACAAGTTTTAAATTAATTTTAAATTTGTTCTTAACTTTTTAAAAAAATTTAGGAAGTGATAGAGGAGCTTAATGACAAGTTGCTCTTGAGGAAACTGGCTTTTCGTTATTTATTTATTTATTTATTTTTATTTTATTTTTTTTTGTTATTTGCTATTTATTTTATTTTGACTAGAATTTTCTCAATAATATAGATTTTTATTTTCATTTTGCCTGAAATATAGCCAGAAATTAACATTGCTCTCAAGCAGTGAAGTGAGAAGTCAGTAAATTGTTCAACTTATGTAGGGAAATTAAGAAGCTAATTATGTTGCAGAAGCCACCACCACTTTGGAATGTCAGTGGCTTTTTTCTTTCTTTCTTTCTTTCACAGTTTCTTTTTTGCATGTTCATTAATAAGGATAAGAAATAATATAATGCATGTTGAACATACTGAACACATAATGTTGCTTGTGAAGTAGGGCATATTTCATCTGTTTGACAATTTTCTTTCTCTTCTTTTTTGTCTAGATGTTCTTTTGACTTCTAGACTTATATTTTTTTTGTATTTGTGATACTTTATTTTATTTGGAATATATTTCACCTCTTGTGTTAAGCTAAAAGATATATATGCTGGGAATTCCTCTTATAATTATCATGCAGTAGTTATTCTCACAGGAAAATCTTTAATCTGTATGGCTCTATTAAATCTTATTTGTGAAATTTACATATTGTATTTTTCATTATTACATGACAAGAGGTATTCTGGATGAAGTACGGAAGAGACACTGAAGAAGAGAAAGGAAATATATTCAAGTATATATATAAATATATGCCCCTCACAGTGAGCAGCATTCCATGGAAATGTTTTGCATACATGTCTAAAATAGATAGCCTTAAAGTGTTAGTTTTAGGGCAGCATGATCAACAGGTGAATCTTGGTCTAAGATTGTCTATGATCCCTTGGGTCATATCAACATGTGCTTGCAGAATTTTTTTCCACTGCACCTCAGCACCTATGTTTCAGTATTTGTTGCATTGTGTAAGTCTCTGAGTTTCATCTGTTTATCAAGCAGGCAAGCAGGGTTTTCTTCTACTGAATTAAGTATCAAAGTTTGTGTGACTTTGTCACCCTTATTTAGACTGAGCACTGTAATGGAAGTCAAGCTATAGTTTATCCATTTGTTGCTCGTTCGTTAAATTGTGTTGCTTTTGATATTGAAGACGAGTTGATTTCTTGATTAGAAAAATATATTTTTATGTTAGATTTTATTTGCAAATATATTTCAGCATAGGTTTAAAGAGTTACCAGTTATTGTGAGATTACACAGAATCTAGATTTACTTATAGATAGCCCAACTATAAAGCACATTATTCACAATTATTTTACACTTTCTTCTCTTTCGTGTAGAATTTTATGCATTTGCACACTGTAGATTTTGGTGAAATGACATCACATTTGTACTGTGTCATGTACAAAATCTTGCTTCCTTTTGTTCTTCCTTTTCACACATTTGTGACCAAGTGTTTTGATTCAAGAGTTCAGACCAATCACCAGTTTCAAAGACATAGAAAGAGAAAAGAAAAAGTCTAAAAGAATTCAAAAAGCACAAATGGCAATTGAATGACGTGCTTGACCATGAACTGCTCCAGTTTAGTTCTGAGTTGGGCTTCAGAATTTTTGTTGTTGCATGTACCTATCCCGAGCTTGCTGTTATACTCCCACAGAACCTTAATGTGCCTGAGGAAGTCCAGGAGACACAGACACGGGTATGTTTGGCTTTGGTTTTCATTATGTTTTTTCATCCATTATGATTATTCATTATGTGTGTATCTTCATTTATATATTTTTATTTGTTTTCCATGTTATTTTATTTATTAATTTTTTTTTCATATTATTTAATGTTTTTTTTTTTTTTTTTTCATTTGTGAAAGTTCTCTTATAGCTGTTGTTGGATTTCTTTCTTTCTATAATTTCCTTCTGTCTTTTGAGTACATTCTGTCGATGTTAAATTTAATTTCTGTCTTGTTTCATTATTCACATGAAATGACATCCATGATTTCCTTCACACAATTTAAGCCACAATTTTATTCTCTGTGCAAGGAACAGTAAGTCTGATGCTGCAAATTTGTGTTGATCTTCAGCATGTCAAAGCTCTGTCCATAAAGTTAATGAAGGCCTTACATAGATGTTTACTGATTTGCTTTGAATGTGATGGATGTTATGTTTGGTAGGTTTCCAAAACCTCTATTAAAGATGTTTGTTTTTGTTATGTATTGCTTTTTCTGTTGGCTTTTTTAATTGTGAAAGATTGGTTTGTTGAATACTGAATACATTCATATATGTATAAGAATCAGGGATTTTCAACAGATTTCCATGATCTAATACAACGAATACATCTGCATCTCGGTCAACATT